GCCCACGCGCGCGCTTCGCGCACGGGTGGAGCTCCGCTATAATTTTCAAGTATTAATATAGAGTCCCTCTGAACTTAAAATCACTTTGTTCAAAACGTGACTCTAATTGTGAATGGTTTAAGCCCACATATACCCTGGGCGCCAGAGACTTTTCTTGTGCGATTTTCGGTGTCTGTCAAGTCTTCATACTGTCCCGCTGGTTTTTCTCACGGCTTCTCCGCTCGTGGCTTTTGCCTTCGGCCAACACCGAAGATCCCCGCCGCACGCGAGAAAAAAAACCGCTAGTACGTACCCAGAGTAAGCCAGCATTGCACTAATTAATTTGAATTCAAGGAATTTTCTTGAAATCGTTCTTTCCAGGATTTAGCCGGGGATACGCCGCTGCACGATGCGATCTCCAAAGAAAAGAACGCAATCGTGGATCTTATCCTTCGCTCGGAGCGCCTTGAGATTTCTGTGTTCAATGGCAGGGGTTTTAACCCTCTTCATCAAGCCTGCATGAAAGGAAACTTACAGTAAGTAATATTGAAGGTCTCTTTCGGTCAATAGTAAGTTGGAGACAATCACTTTCCTCTTTAAGCCCGCGTATTCCTTCGGGTTGTTCGACTGGAGTCCCATACCCCACAAAACTGAAAACTCTTCAATTCTGGGTGTGTATCTCGTTGCGAATGTCCAAAGTGGATTCTGCAGATAATTTGTACCTTCAAATTAATATTGTTTTCAACATTAGTTTTTTCTTAAACGAGAGTTTTTTCCTTTCTGAATGCGGTTTTTTACTTTGTCAGTGGATAATGACAGGTCGGTCATTAATACTTTTATTAAAACGTTTTTAGTTTTTTCCTCGGAAAATGAGGGTCACTTTTACTATTTTACTAATAAGAAACAAATAAAAATTAAGAGATTCTTGACATTTGAGGAAAATCGTGCAACACTTTCATATATTTTTGGAAAAAGCCATTCGCTCTCCCATCTCGCCCGGCTAACATTTGACTGAAAGATTATTGGTTCAGATGTACTTATCTTTGCCTTCCTTTGTTATTCTACCCGGTGGACAGCTTAAGACGACTTTTAACTGCAATTATCTCCTTATCGGTTGCAGTGCTGTACAGAAAATCATAGACAAGTATCCTGGTCTTATTGAGATACCAAAAGAAGACGGATTTACCGCTTTGCATCTAGCCGCGTTCAATAATCATCTTGACATTGCGAGGTGTCTTCTGTTGTCGGTATGTGAGCTAAAGGTCCTTGAGGAATGCGATAAATGCGCCGCCCAGTGATCAGCAATTTTGACCATTTAACGCATGCACATGCAGAACTCTTGTTTAAAACACTTTTGATAGGAAGTGCAAAACAATGAGAAAAAGCGCGAACCTAACTTGAATTATAGAGAGAAGCCTGACGTAACGTTACCGTGGTAGCAAAATTTCTGGATCTCAACACTCTTTCTTGACAGAGGCAGCCATTTCCATTGTCTAACGATGGAAGAAAGCATGGGTTACCGTTTTGTGACTGAGTGCAATAATACACAGGAAGTCATACATTTCAGTTTTTTTCGTTTTTAGTTTCTGCCATATTTGCAGGACCAAAAATTTTGCGACCATGGTAACGTGGCGTAACGACTTTTCCTCTCTGTTGGCCCTCTTGTCAAATTGATGCCAATATGGTAAAAATTGCTGTTCGTGTGGAGGCCAACGTAAAGTTTTCCGAGAGAAAAAGAAACCACAACCTTATCACAAGGTATCCTGCCTGTGTAATAATGGCTGACTTATAACCCGCACGATAATAATTTGAATTTAGTAAACGCCACGTAATGACCTATTAGCCAATTACTGTTGGCAATGAGAAAAGAACTTGCTTTTCAATCCGAGGATTGTCGTTAAGTGTCGAGTTTAAAGATCACTTACTATTTGCGGAATAAAGATAAACGGCGTTTTACAAAGAATTTCAGTGGGAAAAAAGTCAATTATAGAGGCGCATGAGACAAGAAATTTGGAGGAGTGAAGGTGGGTACCGGCGATGTATTGGTGAGGTAAAGTCCAGACTAACATTCAATGAATCATAAAGGAGGGATAACAATAATTAATAATAATTATAATATTAGGTATAAAGAAAGTCTAAGTCTATAATGGCGTGCGGGGGTTTGTAAACGTTAAAGTTGCGCGAGGTTCAACTTTTACGCCCAACGTTCCATACATTATACTTCATTTACGCTCGTAAATGTTATGCCCACACATAAAAATCACGTAATTCTTCTGTACGTGCGCGTAAATAAAATAAAGTGAATGTATAGAAGGTCACGCGTATACGTAAAACTTGATCCTCGTGGCCTTTCATAAATTGCCTCTATTTCTTTTAAAATTTAATTAAGGGACAGTGGAAATCCGCTCAAAGGGAGTAATCTAGGCCCTTACCGTACCTTTTTACGTGGTTGATAAGTGGCCTCTCACACAGTTTTGTTTGTAACCTCAGGACCATTGTGATATCAATTTACGAAACAACAAGAGACAAACAGCCCTGGCGCTATCTGTGTCAGAGGCTTATACAGCTATGATAGAACTGCTTGTTGAACATGGTGCAGATGTCAATGCTGATGATGAGGATGGTGACACTCCATTACATCTTGCTATTATTCATCAGGCTGTGGGTACCACTGGCTTGAGAGNGATAAGTGGCCTCTCACACAGTTTTGTTTGTAACCTCAGGACCATTGTGATATCAATTTACGAAACAACAAGAGACAAACAGCCCTGGCGCTATCTGTGTCAGAGGCTTATACAGCTATGATAGAACTGCTTGTTGAACATGGTGCAGATGTCAATGCTGATGATGAGGATGGTGACACTCCATTACATCTTGCTATTATTCATCAGGCTGTGGGTACCACTGGCTTGAGAGGGGTAAGTGTACTTGCATGCTTCACATAAAGCTCGGATGACGAAGTTTGCTTCGCGGACCGGTAATTCTTTACCACATTTAGTTTAGTCTCTAGCGGAGGCTAGGATGACATAAAAGGTAAAGCTCATTTTACTTCCCCCCCCTCCCCATCAATGCTCCGTTTTAATGGTATTAAGAGCTAGTCAAAGCTACAAAGAAAGGAGAGAAGTTGAAACAAGGATGTGATGTCTCCGTGGATGGAACATAGATCGCTCAAAATCAAAATTATTGAAAAATCCCAATTTTTTTTTGTACCAATCTAAAAGAAAAAAAGTATTGTGTGAAAGTACGGAAAAAGTAGGTTTCATTTGTATGGTCACTCTTTAGAATTTCATCCACGCACCCGAAAGTACAGTATAATAAACAGTGACAGAGGACAATAGAGCGATTTTCGTATGACCTTGAAATGAAAACGCGACAACAAAACAGAAACAATAAACGAACGAAAATAGAGCGATTTGATTGGTTTGTCGTACGGATACAAACGCGGGTGGCTTTTGGTTGGTTAAGCGAACGCTCGGATGAAAAAACTTCATGCCCAAGAACTTTCTAGAAATCAATCGATACTCGCTTTGACGTCATACTGCGACACGATAGACCAATCGAACAATGCCTTCTCCATATTAGGGTTTTCTTTGGCGGAAAAACGAAGAGTACATGTTTTGATCTTTTCATCCATTGGCTGATAAAACAAATAACGAACACTTACCGAAACCATTTTTCAAGGTCATACGAAAATCGCTCTACTTCTTAGTAGCTTTCGTTTAAAAGGTCACAATTTAGGATTTTATCCACAGACTTCAAAGATAGAATTACCCTGTACAGAGTAATAAACAGCACCACGATTAATAAACACCAGTAATAAACGCTGTAGGATTTCATCCACAGACCCAAAAGTTAGAACCACGTTGTACAGCTAACATATTAACTTCCGAAAGGGTCACACTTCAATAACGTACAGAAACTTTAAAGCTTTCAATCGAGCCAAATTTCGTAACGATATCTGCAATGAGAACTGGGAATTTTTGGCTCCAGCTCTTGATCCCAACCAAATGTGGACAGAGTGGAAAACCAAATTTTTAGTGTTGTTTGGGGTAACTGTGCCAAAACATTATCTGACAAATTACAGAGACTTTAAAATCGTGCTGTCCGCGTCCTTACCCATTCTAGTTATATATGATGCTGACGCCAACCGACTATTTAAAGAATTAGGCTGGGACAATTTAGAAACTCGACGTCAAAAACTAAAGGCTGAGATGGTCTATAAATCCTTAAACGCCCTCGCATCGACGGAGTGATGTGATTACTTCTTGCAATTTGCGCGATTCTGATAATAACCTTGCAATACCATTGCCACGTACTAACCATTACAAAAATAGCTTTGCCTATAGTGGTGCAGTCCCCTGGAACAGTCTACCCTCAGCTGCTAGGCAAGCAACATCTCTGACTAATTTCCGACGATTCTTAATTAATTCCGACACGGAATTCATGTAAAACAGGCTTTAATTTAGTTTACTTTTCTTTATTAATAGTTAGCAATATTTTAAATTATAGAAGATTAATCTGTATACATAGTTTCGTATTTAAGTTGTTGCTTTATATTAAATTGTTAATGCCTGATGTATTTACCGTGTGTTTTTAAATAAAGATGATGATGAAAAAAAAAAAAGAACTGCTCACTAGCTTTCATTTGAATGGTCACACTTTAGGATTCATGATCATAAACAGACTCAAAATTTACCTAAAATTTCTAACCACTTCTTCCAGTTTAGTAAACAGTACCAGAGAGAAGTACCTCTAAATTTCCATTTTTCAGCCTAAAAACAGAAAGGCTCTGGATAATGTTGTAAAATCGCTGTAAGGAAGGAAATTGGCAATGAACCAAGGCAATATGTGTCTGGTTTAAAATGCAGTTTTATTTTTTTTAAATTCTTGTATTGGCATTGAAAGGTTTCCTTTACGGCGCCTATTAAAATTTGTTTCAAGTCATTTTAATTTACTTATGAGCCTATTTTCAGTTTAAGTAAGGTTTTCTTTTTTTGGCACTGACTGCTTCTTAATATCCCGTTAAGTCTCTCGTCTGCTAGGACATGTATGTGTATAACGTCATCACGCCATGGTATATTTTAAGCAATTGTTACTTCATCTCTGTTACTGTACATGAAATAAGCAAAGGTCGTGCAACCTCCCCGATTAGCCACTCTTGGGTCTAAAACGATGGCTCCCCCATTACCCAAGATGGTAGCTTGTGTTGTTCCGGGGGTTATGGCTCCAGATACCTAGCTGATCTAGACGATACCGGCGAAAATCGACACCGAAAGAAGAAGGAAAACAATTTAGTTTCTTAAAAAATTGTGTTTATTGTCGCAACGAGACTCTATGTTTTAGACGACACCTGAGTGTCGTGTTAAGTTTCTAAGAAAATAATCCGCCTATCGATTTTTTTCAAACTCATTAGGGGAGGGGGGGGGGGGGAAAAAAAAAAAATAAATTTTGTTTTTTATTATATTTTTTTTTTTTTTGCAGAATAGTTTTTTTTGTTTTTAAGACAGTCTGTGTTTGTTTTTATTGTTATAAAAAAAAAATCCCTTTTTTTTTTTTTTTAAAAAGGGGGGGGGGGGGGGGGGGGGGGGTCCTCCTCCGTGAAGAGAAATATACGGTGCGGTTGCCCGTAAGGGTTATACTTGCTGTGATATTTTTCATCTCTCATACCATTACGGGCAAGCGTAGAAATATATATTTTCGAAAGCAAGTGATTTTTTCGAAAAGAGAAAAGAAGTCTTTATCGCAAAAAACTGATTCGAACACGCGTTAGTCTGTATACAGCCGCCCTCACCTCAAACAAAATCGGGGCGATTTTGTTTGAGGGGGGCGGGGGATGCTGTACAAAGGCTAAAATCGTTTTTTTTTCGCACAAGCGTCAAACTGGGCAACTGAAAGAAAGTTTTTACAAAAAATGGTTTGATACAGTCCCAGCTCTCTATGCATCTGAAATCCAACACTACGACTAAGCAACGAACAAGTTCGCGCATCCCCGGGAACGCCAGTATTACACATGAACTTACCACCGAAAACGCTGAACGAACTGATACCGACACTTGGCCTCACTCCCCCTCCCCGGCTGTGTGAATGTATAAGTGGCTTTATTATTGGCGTAGTTGTAGCAGTTGTTGCTTAACTGAGCGGCAAGAATGCCGTTCCAAGGGTAGGAAGTACTCTCATATGCGTAACGGTTTCGTCTATCGTTAACGGAAATCGGTTTCTTTGGGAGTAAGTTTTGTATATCGTTATTTTAGCGTCACGATGACAACGATAGGTCACCAATAACTCAAACTGTGTTGCCCCTATAGATATTTGATTTATTTTTCTGACTGTTATTTTTTTTTGTATTCTTTCTCACCGATTCAGCTGTTGCAAGGTTTAGGACTTAATCTCCCAGCGGGGGCTGAGACAGATCAGCACACGGGCTCAGCTATAGCAGTTTATTTGGTTCTTCATGGTGCCAACGTCAGCCTCTGCAACCACGAGGGAAAAACTCCATTGGACCTTTGTCAAGATACCCAGACTGTTGCCTTGATTCAACAATTTGCAAGAAATGCACCGAGGTGGGGAAATTCATATTTACTCTATATTAACCGACTACATCAGCTCTTCTCTGATACCGGGTAGGGCTTCTGTTGTCACATGAGAACGGTGATTTCGGTGCAAATACCTTAACGGAGCGAGGCTGCGCCGTGTCGGTCTTACAAATGGTTATCAGTGGGAACAGGTATTCGGATCACTGCGGAAGTAAATGAGTAGGAATGAGAACTGGAACCCAGTAAGACGGAAGTAAATATTGAAAAGTGTTGATTGGGATTTAGTGTAAGTACCAATCCCTCTCGGCCGCTTTGGTGCGATGTTCGATGGGTGTGATCGTTTAATTCCAGTTCTGTGCCGTTGCTCTTCACAGGCCCTTAATCCTCTCTTGATTAGGACAAAGGCGCATTGCATGATGATAACTTTATGTGAGGTATTGAATACGGTCCAATGGCAATATAATACGTGGCATGCATTAGTTATCCATTGACTGTGCCTCTTATCATGTGCACTGGCTTCATTATCGACTGCATCACTGTTAGCTCGCCTTAGACCTGATAACTCGCCTTTGTTTTGTTGACCTTATCAGTCTACAAGGGGACTGGTCTTCCGATGCAGTCCATCTCTACATCGCACAACCTTTGGAGCGTCACATCTCCGTGGCTCATCTCGCAGAACATTGTTTCACTGTCTCCGAAATTCCTTCCGTGATATTTTCACTTTATTCCTCCTCTTTGTTGTCTGGCGGTTTGGGCGGGCCGCATCAGGAGGGGGACGGCCGTGGTCTTGCCTCCCTTGATGCGGCTTTGCTTTGCAAACGTGTGGTTGTAATTTTCTTTGTGCCTAGGATTTTGTAGAATACTCCATGGGACGGAAGTGCGGGCGTACGATGTTTACGCACGAGTTGTTGACGTATCAGAAATAGAACGAGTGAGCGTAGCGAACGAGTGACATTTGTGATACAAAAACGAGTGCATAGATACCGTACAAAACACTTTCCATGTAGTATTGTGTTTATTCTATACATACTGAGACATTCATCATTTTAGCAGCCTTTTTGTTTTACTTTCCAAAATGCTAAAATTTGCCGCTAGATACCGTAAAATGAGAGAGAAAACGAAGTATCAGCTTATAACTGGAAAAAACGTTTGTTAAAAATGACAGTTATTATGATAGTGAATTTGTATAGCGCTAAAACTATAGAATACTCAATAACGCTTTACATTAAGTTACAGTTAGAAAAAAATTTTTGTAAGGCTAATTATAACAATAATAAAAACACTTCCATGCTATGCTAAAATCTAAAAAAAAATTCTAAAATTCTATACAAAATTGAAATTAAAATATTCAAAAGCGCTAAACATTCAGAGCTATTTCAACAAACTAAAAGCTTTCCTAAAAAGAATTGTTTTAAGATGCCTTTTAAAAATGGCGAGGCTGCTACTTGTTCATATAGTTAATGGCAGCGAGTTCCATAAAACAGGTGCAGCATGAGCAAAGGCCCGATCCCCAAGTGTAGAGCAGTTGCCTTTTGGAATGAACAGAAGAGATTGTGCAGACGAGCGAAGAGCATAATTAGCAGCTGGTTTCAGGGACAAAAGATCTTTAATGTAGAGTGGACTTTGGTTATGTACCGACTTGTAAACAAAAAGGAGCAATTTGAATTCTCTGAACGTTACTGGGAGCCAATGTAGGTTGATAAGTGCGGGCGTGATATGATCAAATTTAGGCATCTGAAAAATTACTCTAGCTGAACTTTCTGTAAACGATCAAGTTGATATTTAGGTAGACCAAAAGGAAGTGCGTTGCTGTAATCAAGGTGCGAAGATACATCAAGACAGGACTTCACTAGCCATGTAGGAACAGGATCCAACCGACAAGAGACGTTGGACGAACAATCTTACACACTTGTTCTATGGATATACTAACAGAAGCAAGTCGAGGTTCTTGAACTTGTAACTTGTAAAGATTTTCCTTTATGATTTCAATTTTTTTGAGAAGAGAAAGTGCCAAATTCGTTATCTAGCTTTGTGGGGTCGTCGTGCTCTGTGTGAGCCGTCTCAAGTAGTTCCCTGGACAAGGAATTATCCACACGAAATAGCTTGCGGGAGTCACCCACACACTGATCAATTAGGTTAGTAATTCACACGTAAAGATTTAAGAAGGGCAGAATACTGATTACGAACTTTATGGAAATTATTTCAGTCACCAGGGAGGTCAGTTTTCACGGCTTTCTTTTCAAGGCGGCGACATTTACGCTTGAGTTGTTTAATGTCAGCGTTAAACTATGGGACGTTTGGACGATTAATTGCTGCGGAGCGACTGTAGGGAACGAGAAGCAACATAATCGGGATTTAAGGGAAATACAAGAGGTGGGACGAATTCTCGAATTCATCACTTTTTACCAGAATGCATAGCATTTAACCAGACTGCTCTGCGCTACTTTTTACCAGAATTCATTGCGCCACGAACAACTCAAATAAAAACACGAGGAAGTTCGGTGGGTGAGAGCGTGCATCGTTTGCTGCCCAGACTCAGAGTTTTGTTTGTGGCAAACTTTCTACAGCACGGTTAGAGGTCTTACCAAATTTAAGACACGCAGGAGTCTTTCAGATGAGTACGATGGTTAACTCGGGGATTGGATTTTGATTCAAGGGCTTTTCACTCGTCCAGGCGTTAAACTTGAGGAGAAGATGAGCATTTCCTCGTCGACCCCGCAACACGGGGGATATACAAATTCCAGCTTGCTAGAAGGTAATGTGAAAGTGAGAAAATGTCGCGCCATGCTATTCTTAAGAACCTATATGAGCCGAAAATGGATGTGATTTTGACCAAAATAAAATAACAGCGGAAATCGAGATAACAAAACATATGTTTTGCGTGAGTTGTAGACGAGGACGTGTATCGTCGTTTTTAAATCATAATTATGTTCTTTCATTCACTCATTGCCATGTTACGTAATCAGCCTTTGTGGTATAGCGGTTAGGTGTAGTCACGTCGAGCCGATGGTGCCGGGTTCGAGTTTTACTCAACTCTTTTTTTCCTTCTTTTCTTTTTTTCCCGTTTTTTGTGTGTTGTTGTTTTCTATAAATATATACCTAAATAACTGTTATTTAATGAAGTGTAATAAACAGCAAGAAAAGTATCGTGTTTCCAGAGAAAAGATAGTACACCGTATATTAAATAATTATATTGAGAAACAATCTGAATTTCTGTCCGTGGGAAAACCAGAGTTGATGACCACTTGATCATTTTCTAAACAACGTTCCCACGAGTTCTTTCTATAGACTGATAGTAATTATTACTTTCCAACATATAAATAGGACATTCAATGTCATTTTCGATTCTTTTAAGTCTCACTGCCTAACTAATGCCAGTATCAACAGAATGTGCCGCAGAATTACTATCTTACTATCTAGAGTGCATCAATGTTCTCCCAGTGTGCGCCTGCACAAAGCATAGAATAGCCAATATCAGCTGAAAACGCGGCAATATCAATGTTTTTGAATTCACAAAAAGTTAGTTCTTTGCATGACAAAGCTGGTCGTTGGAAGCCAAAAGGAGACTGAATAATAAAATGACCGGAGATGGAAACAGTAGTTTTAGGAGAAGCAAGAACAATATCATCTGACGAACGAGTAATAATTAAGTCCAAGGTATGACCCGATAAATGGGTCGGGCCCGAAACGTGTTGCGAAAGACTAAACGTTTCCAGTAAATCCATAAATTTCTTGGTGTCATTGTCACGAAGTGCATCTAAATGAAGGATGAAGTCTCCAGACATAACAAGGACCTCGGGGCACATAACAAGCAACATTCTCTAAAAACTGAAGGAATTCATCAAAGAAAACAGAGGCAGAAACAGGATGTAACGAAGAATATAGAGGTCGGTACACTATCACATGTAGAGTAATCGTGCACTTTAACAATCTACTCCGAAAATTCGAAGGACTTGTTTTCCTTCCCATCCACTAATGAAACGTTGACAGAGTCTCGAAGCAGAATTCCAGTTCCACCACCACGGTTTTGTGATTTTCTCGAAAATTCTTGAAGAAATAACCAGCCACAGATAACTGAGCAATACTGGCGGAATCAGCGTCATTTAAGCAGGTCTCGGTAACGCTGCAGGGGCCGATGCCATTTCAACGACGTGGTCAGTGATGCTCTCGATCTTATTCCTAACAGATCTTTAATTGAAGACTGCACAGTTTAGGACAGTTGAACGTGGATTGATGAACGAATTTGTATATAGTGAAGAGTTTGTCGAAGTAACGTTAGAAGATACGTGATTGTTTATGTCCGCAGTTTTAACGACGCAGAGGTTATTTGAAATGGATCCTTTATGCAAATTATCGCTTCCCCGACTAGCGCGTGGATAAGAAACCAGGGATTCAATTCTGTGAATATTTATTGAATAGCTCACCTTTCTCTAACCCGACGGCCAGCGCGGCACCTTTTGTTGGTTGATGATAACGGCGATGAACAAGGCCAATAAGAAAGTCTTGGCCCGAGATTCTCCCGAAGTCTGTTTCAATCTGTAATGCATTTTCTACAGACTTTGTATTAGCGCAGATTAGAGTGGTGTCGTGTGCAAATTGGCTCAATTTTACCTCGCTGCCAAAAAGAGAGACTCCCTTGACACTATCGCTTTGGTGACTTTTGGTGGACATTAGCTCCGCAGTTAAGACAAGGAGGAATGGGCCATCCTTGCCTCTACTAGGTTTAATCCATTTTGAAGCATAACCTTTATTAAGAACTGTGTTTTCTATGATTCTGTAAAAGGTTTGGATCCACCCTCTAAAGCTCTCACCAAAGTTATGAAGTTCTAACGCCCTGTGTATACTTGACCACTCTTACTAGACTCTTAAAGAAAGGCCACCTCTTTAAGAGATATGGAGACTTGGAGATTATTATAGTTTGAAATTCTTTGAAAACTTGCCCAAAATTTACGAGGAAATTCTTTTATAAACTCAATGAACTCAAGATACTTTAGAACGTCAACGATCGAGTATGCAACGATATACTTTTCAACAATAAAGAAATTCTGATTGGAGGAAAACTCTTCTTTTTTTACTTTCAAGTTCTGTGCCACAGCCTCCCACAACACGGACGACTGGTCCTTCTTCCTCAAAGCCGCCTGTTCCGCCGCAACCATCAACGGCTGGGTCAGCGGTATGTTTTTAGTTTCCAACTCTATATTAGAGACCGTTAGATTCTTGGACGAGAACGACTACGAGTACGAGACTTAACTTTAATTTTCTCCAAAAAAACAAAGCTCTGTTATCTTTATTAAAGGAGGTTAAGTCATCTTCCAGCCGCAAAAGGACAACACCTCTGACCTCTAACTTCTTGTTTCCGCTGCCCCGACATTCTCGCTAAAATTTTGTGGTAGGATGACGACGACTATCACATTTTCCCGCCAAACTGGCGCTGGCTCACGGTCGCGCACTGCTTAGTATTGAGAAAATCTCGTACTCGTAGTCGTACTCGTCATTGAACCTAACCGCAACATTGATCGGAATAGACTGGCGTGCGTGTACACGTGTTTTGTAACTCGCTATTCGTGCAAAGGAGATTGAGAGGTTTTAAAACTAAGCGACCATTTATTCGATTGCTACGAGAAACGTGAGGATTGTCAACCCTTCCTCTCGAGGAGCCAATCGCGCAATCATGAGACTGAATTCGTATGATATATTTTTTTTATTTTGGCGTAGGGCGCCGCCACCGGTTATCCATATGATATGTACTTGTCTTCTTGAGGGTTTACATCTACAAAGACCATTTTGTGTTTTTCTTCTCTTTCAAATTTACAGTCAGGCGCTGCAGTGGAACGTCAGAAAAAGACTCAGGATACAGTCAATCGAGCTGAGCATACAGGAACCGACTGCATTATCTGTTCAGAAAACGTGGCTACTGTTACATTCAATCCGTGTGGTCATAAAGTCACGTGTTCAGGTAAAACTATACAAAATGGTAAGAAAAAGCCTTCCGCACTGCGGATGGCTCGCGAGGCCTTGTTTAGAGAAGCCTGGTTAGCTGGGCTGGCTCTGTCGTGCCTTGTTTATTCTTAAAATTGTCGTTGTGTTTATATGAGAAGGCGGGCTGGCTTGCCGAGGTCTTGGTTATTCTAGCCGGATCCTCGGCAGCGGGCCAGCCCGCCTTCTCATATAAACATAACCAGAATTTTTAGGGAAAACAAGGCATGAGCCAAGCCAGCCCGGTAAAGCGAACCAGCCATTCAATGATGCCTTTCAAGCCTCAGTTGAGACTAAGCTTGTTTAAGAGTATTATGGTATTGTTTGAAAGAGCTTATCTGTCTTTTTCCGGTTTTGTGATCGGTGAGTGCTTGCAGCAGTCTCTACCAATAGTTATTTCAGCTGTGTAAACAAGATATTAGCGTACATACACGCCTGCAGCAACACTTTATGTCCCCGGTATGTCTAACGAAAGAGCTTTACGGCGCGACTGATCTTTGATCCACTAACTTCCTTTTGTACTTGCTGTGTAATTTATACCTTTTTTATGTTTTGAGAAGTTATTCTTTGTTTCAGTCACCAAAACAGCTCCTTTTAGTTCAATTCACTTGATCAAGTGTTTTCTTTTTCAGTTTGTTCCAGGAAACTGAAGCGCTGTCTGAAGTGTCACGCAGCAATTCACAAGAAAACATCACCAGGTAAGTACTCTCTCTCTCTCTCTCTCTCTCTCTGTAGATATAAAGTAGGGCATTTTTTGTCACTTTTCCTCCTTCCGTTAAACCTTTTTTTTAAAGGTTACTCACAATTGCTTGTTATGATTTTTCAATGCCTAATAACTATACTAACAACCACACACTGTTTCAACTTTTTACCAATATTTTGAATTTTTTTACAGCCATAAAACATGTTGCGACGTTGCACAAATTCCCTACTCCGTGGATGGTCCTTTTAAAGACATTTTAAAGTACTTTTTTGCGTGGATTTAGAGGTATTCGACCTGTTAAACTCTTCCTAGCCATTCACTCGTGATCCACAAACAGTCTCTTCCGAGATTTTACAATCGACAAAAAAGCGCCGTAGTATCA